CCCCAAAACCCCAAAACCCCAAAACCCCAAAACCCCATAAGCAAGGGATCGATATTAAATAGGAATAGAATGTGAAAAATACATTGAATCTGATTAAAAAAATAATATTGTAGTAAATTATTTCAGGTCAGAATAATTTAACTTTTTGATCAATTCTAAAGTAGTGTCTCATTTGACTTATATATTAGTTTAGAATTTTTTCTCTTTTTATAAATGAATAGACTTCCAATAGCAAGAATAATAACTGTTAATACAATGAATAAAACAAATATCCAAGTCTATGAGTTCTAAGACTCGTCTTATGAATTATCAATATCATCATAAATTTTAGCATTGCATTTGCCTAATAATAGTTCATAACCTTCTTTGCATAGTTTGCATTAAAGTTAATTATTGCAAAGTGTGCAATTTTCTTCGCATTTCACTGATTGTAAACTCTCCTAATTGACAGAGAGATTAATCTTACCAGATGATTTCTTCTTCAAAGTTACATAAGCTAATTATATTATTTTAAATAATGTAAATCTTACTTGTATTAGTCTTGTCATTGTTAATTACAAGCGAGATCTTTCCATCTTTTTGCTCTCCTTAACCGTCATTTATATATTAATTGGGCATATCGTAGGTGAATGAGTAATAAACCTCAACATCTTCAAGGATAGAACTCTGTAGTTCTTAAGCTAAAGATAGCTGATAATTTGTTAAAAAAAGTGATGTGGTCTGCACTAGATCTTTTACGATAATAGTTAAGGATACGTATTTTTGCAGGAATTAAAAGTATTAAGATCCTTGGCCATCTAGTGAAGTCTGAAATGATGGTTGAGTAATTTTAACATCTTAAGGTGTAGAGCAGGCTGCAACATTCAAAGAGTTGATTAGTGATTATAGCTTGTCAAAATCCTTCACTTGATAGACTCTGGACTTATCTTATTTGTTATCTCCTGAAATATACATTAATGTACTTTCTTAGATCCCTGAACCAATTCCAACTGCATATCTTTAAACCTCCTGATCTTTTAGATCTTAAATTGTTGAGTCTAGAATCGTATCAGATGGTATTCCATCAGTAAGAACAAACATTATATTCAGCGAGTCAGGTCTTCTAATGGATTGTTATTAGAATAATCTCTTTGCTTCAATTAATGCTTAATTAGTATATGTATTTCCAGCCGGATATTTCATTTTATTGAGTGCATTTATTAGAGCAGCTTAGTTTGAGCTAAAATCACTTAGAAGCTCATTTATATCTGAGAAGAGTAGTAAACCAATTTAATATGAATCATCTCCCAACTTTGTACTCTGAATGATGTTCCGAACGAAATCAGTTTAGGTTTTAAAGTTATTAGGATTGTTATTGTTAATACTTCCTGATCCATCCATTACAAATAAAATGTTGACTTTTTTAGATTCCGAGCATTTTTCCATACAGAACTTTAGAATATAATATTCTGAGAGACTTCTATCGTTGCTTTTACCTTCCTTAGCCAATTAATCTAGCATTTTTTGAAAATCTACTCTGAGAGCATAATTCCACATATTTTAGAAATTATCAGGTTTTCCGTATTATCTATCTTAAGAATAGATCACAGTCCTCACTCCTTTGCTCAATTCAGAAAACTTTGTTCTTTCTTTGCTTAGTTTACCGTATTAGCTCTTACTGTATAAACCCTTATCATAATATTTCTAGAGATTTGAGATTTCAGAACCCATCATTATTACTTAGAAATTTTCAATTTCTTATTGACTAAATTCAACTTGATTATTCATCAAGTATTATACGGGATTTTCGTACTTTGCAAAATATGGGCTCAATTTTGCCAATAGTTTTTCATTCAAACCAAGCTTCTTTAAATCTTCGGTGTTTTATCCAGTAAGTTCAAATCCAGAACCCAGCATGATTCCACTATTTCCAATTGGTTTGCAGTTCTCATCAATATTAACATAGGGGCAACTGCATATACCCTATAATTGTTGGATGATATCACCATCAACTAATTGCCCATCAGTTTATTAGCACCCACTAAATCCTTTACTAAGATCTTAAGTGTTTGAAGGAAACTCTAATGTTTTAGAGCATTTAAAAAGTTAGCAGCCACATGGATCAGCGGCACATTATTTGCATTAATCAGGAGTCTGAGCGAGGGAAATGGAAATAAGACTGAGTATAATAAAAATACTGAATGGATTCCTATACATTCAAAATTAATATCTAAGTAATTAAAGAAAAGATATTTCGATTAAATTAATTTAACTGCTTGTATTCTCTCAAAATAAGCATTAAGGGGTTTTGGGGTTTTGGGG